TGGAGCCCTGGGGGCTCTGTGGATTAGGCATTGGACCCCTAACTGGAAGGTTGGTGGTTCAAACCCACCAGCTGTTCCCGTAAAGCTTTACAGTTTCAGAAACCCTATGCAGAGTCTGTATGAGTCAGAATGATCATGCGTGAAGGATTCAAGTTTACTACAACTGAGCAACAATGGGCTCAAACGTAGCAACATGTGTGAGGATGGCACGGGACCAGACTGTGTTTCATCCTGTCGTGCATAGGGTCACCATGAGTTGAAACCAACTCGATGATACCCCACAGTACTACAGTGGGGTAGTGTTCAAAATGGACTGAGATTCGAGAGTAGATGTGTAGCTAATGTTCTCATTCATTCACGTAATCCGCCATCGCATGTTGTATTGGGTGCCACGGTGAGCTGGCTGGCAGGCAGCTGTGTGTCACGGTGAGCACGTAGACATGGCAGCTGCCCCTTTCTTGCCCACATGGGGAAGACCAGTGTGCAGATACACCAGTGCGGAGTCGTTACGCAGCCAGTGAGACAGTGACAGCATACATTTGTTTAGTGCCCATTGTCAGGGAAGGCATAGCCTGGGAATTCGTGTTTTCGCTGATCCTTGAAGGATGAGAAAAGCAGCAGCTGCCGTGCAGAGGGGTGGGGGAAGACCAGAAGGAGAGTCACTTGCAGCAGGGCCTGTTTCTCAGGGTTGTTTGAGGAGTAAATGTAAGAATGCAAAGTGCCTGGTCCATAGTAGGTGTTCCATACGTGTTTGTCTCCCCCCACGTCCCACCCCCAGATCTTTATTGATCCATTAGAATAGGGCAATGTGGTGCTGCAGGAGCCGCACAAAGTCAGCGACTAAGACCCACCAGCCTCTCCATGAAAACCACATACAGGGTCGTTATGAGTCGGAATTGACTCGATGGCACTTACCACCACCCAGAAGGCAGTGAGACGCCTGCTGTCCTGACACAGACAAGGAAGAAACCCGAGTCTTCTGTAGTCACGTGGCTTCTCAAAGCTTTAGGGGTGCTGGTAGGGTTGTCATCAAGCCCACCCTGACTCAGGGAGACACCATGCATGCAGCGCACCCCTGCTCCATAGCACTGGGCCAGTCCTGGAGCTTCTGGATGGCTTTGAACGACCAGCTGTCCAGCTGCAATCTAGTGCTTGACCGTTTACATCACCTAGATGGTGGTAGTGGTGTTGTTTAGTGCTGTCAAGTCAGTTTCTGACTCATAGTGACCCTGTATAGGGTTTCCAAGGAGTGGCTGGTGGGTTTGAATCCTTAACCTTGCAGTTAGCAGTCTAGTGTTTATGCTACAGCATTATACCAGAATACCCAGGTGGAAGCCTGGAATTAGAACTCAAAGTGTCCCAGCTTCCCTTTGATCCTGAGACCTCCTGTTCTTCAGCTCAGAGTCTAGAGACTGACTGGCACACCCAGAGGTGCCCTAGGATCGGACCAGGGCCAGGTCTGCTGCCTACCAAAGCTCCCGCGGGGTGGTAAAGCAAACAGGCTTTAGGAGAGGTTAGGGTTTTACACCCAATCATACATCTGCTCTACAACAGCTGAGTCCCTTCGGACTACGCTGGCTCCGTCAGAGGTCCCTAGACAGCTGAGGCCCTCCAGTGTGCACGAGGGCTGCTTCATCTCCTGCATGTCCCAGAAACACAGGCAGAATGCAAAGCATGGGGACTGTGTAACGGGAGGCAGGGCAGCCATGTGACTACAGGGCAGTCTGGAGCCAGACCCTCTGGGTTGGAATCCCACCTCTGGCACTAACTAGCTGAGTGAGTAACTTTGGATACGATACTCTGGTGGGTTTTCTACTGCCGCATAACAAACTACCCCAAAACTGAATAACCAAAACAAATCCAGCCATTTTCTCATCTCTCATGGTTCCCTGCTGTGACTAGGCTCAGCTGGGCGCTTCTTCTGGTTGGTTCTTCTGGGACTGCAGTTATTGGGGGTGGGATGACTAAGGTGACCTCCACGTGGCTGACGGTTGGTGAGAACTTCGTGTGGTTTCTGCAGCTGCGGAAAGTTGAGTATCTGCCGTCACTGTGCACTCAGGAAGCAGGGAGAGGAGACTGGTGTCTCCGGTCCTCCCTGGGACATGGGGACAGCTCCCGGACCCAGGGCTGTGTGTCCAACCCTGAGGACTGGGAGCATGGGTAACATCAGGTGCCTGTCTTGTCTTTGCTGCTTCCTGCTAGGTTCCTGACTAACCCCCTCGCCCTCCACCCCCACCCCTGGCTTTGACAAGATGACTGGTTTTCTTTCTTTGGTAGGTTTCTTTTCAAAATTTAAACAAGTGCTTTTTAAGCACATAGTAGACATTGATCATTTGTTTTGTGACCCATGTGGCAGTGTTTGAGGAACTCTCTCCTTCTCTGGCAGGATGAGCCAGTGTCCAGCCGAGCTCATGGTCTCATGGACGTTGCAGTTAGAGCCTCTCTCCTCTCCCCCTACTCTCTGCGTGCCAGCAGCCTGGGGACTCCTGAGTCTGGAGAGATTATGGCAACACCCTTGCTGTGGATGTCACCTGTCTGTCATTCCATACCCACGGTCCAAGCTCAGGTGCTCCCTCTAGGAGGACACCGGAATGTCAGGCAGCTGTTTCTGTCCTAATGGGCGCCGTCTTCCCCTGCATCTAAATACGGCTGCGTGATTCCTACATGCCAAACAGCTAGCCGCCTTCCCTGCAGGGCCAGGGAGAAGCAAAAGAATGTCTCCTTGCCTCTAGTCATTTCTTTATGCCCTTTGTTGGGGTAAGCCAATGAGAAGCTGGCATGCCTGGGGTATGTCCCCGAAGTCCCAGTAGGGATTACAATGGCCAGTTATCAACACCGCCTGTCTTCCCAGAATGTGTTGTAAAGCCAGCTCTCCGGAGGCTTACTGTAAACTGTGGGTGATGCCTGGCACCAGTCTGGGCAGACAGCACAAGAAGTGAAGTCTTGACGATGTTTAATAAGTTTGCCATCGGTTATCTGTATGCATTTGTCAGAGAATGTTCTACATACACACTTAGAAAGCTCAGGTGCCCTTTTCCCAGCCGCCTCCCTGGAATTCACAGACACATTCATATCTCTCGGCGTGCTACTACTTAATTAGAAGAAAAGTCTGCATGTCAGAAGGATTTAATGGCTCCCAGGTACTTATGTCCACTGTCCAGAATGTTCTCTGAAAAGCAGCATGAGGGAGAACACATCTATAAAGAAAATGCCTTGTTCTGAGAATCTATCATATTCATAGAAGCTCGTTGTTCCTTCAAATTGGAAAGTGATGCCTGTCCTCAGAGACATAGGCACATCTTTTACCTCAGCCCTCAGGTAACCTGTTCTTTCTACTTGGCTCAGTTCAGCCAGAACCCTCCTAACTGTGGAGGAGGCACCTTCGGACCATGCTCTGTCCTCTTTCAGTCTCAAAGGAGGTAGCTTGTAAAGAAAGTGGGACTTGGCATCACGATGGAGCTGATGTGTACTTGTCCCGAGGGTCTCCTCAAACAGGCTAACTTGATCCCCACACTGTTGCTGAGGGGGACATTCTATGGGAAGGAGTGGCAAGGGCCATCGTCAGCCCTGACCAGTGATAGCAGTGACGTCTTGGCCGGTAACGCTCGATTCCACGGGTAAGGGCTGAGAGTGGAAGGTGCCATACCTCCAGACCCCTTCCTCCGCCCTTTTATGTCAGATTCATAGTGAGTATGAGGACAAGGCCTGCCCCACCCGGCTTTCTGCACATAATGCTGGTTGTATTTTCTTCACATAACGCAAAGATCCACAGCTAAATTAATATGTCTTGTGTGTCTGTTTAAGCTGCACAGTGAATACACCTTCATTGTAGGAGGTACAGAGAAGTACAGAACTCATAATGTAAGGTCATGAGCCTTCTCTCTGTCAGCGACAGCCTGTTGTCATCTTTCTGATGTTTTTCGTTCTGACCTTTCAGTGTGCAGATGCTCTAAGTTACATTTAGGAATCATATCGGGCATTTGCTGTTTGTATCCAGGTTTTGGGGCCGGGGGGAAACAACAACAGTTATCATGAGTTGTTTTCCCTGTTAGGGGGCTAGTGCATTTTTTATGTGAATATTTATTTCATTGGTAGCACATTAATCCACCTTTCCCTACTCTCCAACACTCTTCTCTTGTCCACTTGTGCCCTCTGCATCTTTATCCAAGTTCTTAAGATTCTAGCCAGTTCCAATTAGATCCAAGTCAGAAAGGAAGCTCATTGCCTGGAATGATGAGACTGTCACCATTTGTTGGGCATCTACTAAATGCTAGGTATGGTATTCAGTGCTTTATGTAGTAATTACAAATACCTGTGACAGCTGACTACCTTTACCTTCTGAAGGTTCCAGGTGAGAAGTCAGTCATAGGCTTGGATACCTGCTGGCCCTCCACACTCACCTCCAAACAGTGTGGTCAGGACACTGGTGGCAGGAAGTTGATTTCTGATTTCTGTCACCCAGTCATATTCTTAGTAGCCCTTCTGAGTCAGGAGAAGAAGCCATGCTCTTCTGACTTGGTTGTTCATGGGGGAGTGGGTGGGGTATGGGGGGAGGATGGAGCCCTTTGGCGGCAGACATTGACCTTTTTGCTCATGTACTGAGTGTGTATGTCTGTGTGTGCGATTTTCATCCTGGAGACACTGAATACATTTTCCGCCACACATCTGATACCTTGCATCTCAGATCCTAATTAGGCCTTGATCGCTCCAGAATTACATGCTTTTGCATGCCCGCGATTACCCCAATAGGATTAGCTGTTCTTTTTTCTGCAAAAAAAATTAATTGAGATCTCTCATGGTGGCGTATTTTTATTACTGCCACACTATCTCTAGTCATCCCTCCGGAAAATCACTTACTGTTTTCCAGTACTTGCTTTTCCACCTCATTCTTACCAGGAAATGAGCAGCAATCATTGAGAGACACAATTCTTCATCATTAAGCAAACCATGGTAACCATTGTGCGTTTTCTCTCCCTCCCATCCCCTTCCCCCCACGACAGGTACCTGGAGATTTGAGTCAAACATCCGAAGACCAGAGTTTGTCAGATTTTGAAATGTAAGTCCAGGAACTCTTTAGAAATAGAACTCTTTTGTTTGACTTGTCTTAGAAGACCCCACGGGGAAACAGCAGTCATTGTTTAAATCTGCTACAGGAGAATTTGGTTACTGCAGAGGTGGGGTAGGGGGGAACGTCATTCCCCTGAGTCTGGCCCCCAAACTTGCTTTATTACCTTTTCTGGCTTGTGTTGGGAGATTTCACTCCAGAATTGAACACACATCCCCGCATGCTCACCAGCCAGTGGAAGCCCACTGGTAGCTGCCCCTTGTCTCAGAGCCTGCACTTTTCAGTTCCCCTCAGTCCACACTGTTCCTTTTACCTTTCCCATCCCCACTCTGCCCGTTTCTTAATCTGCTGCGTAGCTCCCATGGAGACTTGAGTTTAGAATCCTTAGGTTATTGGAGCAAAGATGTCGCCTGACCCAACCCATCGTATTTCAGTCACCTCACATGCATGGGAGAGCTGGACAATGAAGACTGAGAAGACCAGAGAAGACTGGGTGCCTTTGAGTGATGGTGTTGGTGACAGTCCGGCACGGTCTGCCAGAAGAACGGACCAACCTTTCTTGGAACAAGTACACCCTGAATGTTCTTTAGAAGCTAGGATGACGAGACTTCACCTTATATACTATGAACATATCAAGTGGACCCAACGCCTGGAGAAGAGCATCAAGCTTGGAGAAGTCGAGGGTTTGGGGTTAAGAGGAAGCCCCTCAATGAGATGAATTAGCACAGTGGCTTCAACACTGGGCTCAAACCCAGCCTATGGTGGTTGTGAGGATGGCACAGGATGGGTAGGAACCTATGAGTCGAAACCGACTCGATGGCACCTAACAATAAGAGATGACTGGAAACAGCAGTCGGTGAGCACTTTTGTTTTGCTTTGGGTCAGACTTGATTCCATTTGGTGCTCTTGCTGATAATCTGTTAGGGTTTTCAGACTGTCTGTTTCTGATCATGTTACTTGGTCTTTGGAGGCTCCTAGAGGATGTGGGGTGGATCCTGTAGTAGGGGCCAAACAGAGCTGTGCTCTTCTCCCAGTCATTTGTGGGAGAACACCTCCCCAAGGAAAGTGTTACTGTGAAGTGCTATCGAGTCAGTTTGGACTCATAGCAACCCTGTATAGGGTTTCCGAGGAGCGGCTGATGCCTTTGAACTGCCGACTTTATGGTTTGCAATCCCACTGCTGATCATGCAGCGCTACACCAGGTGGTGGTAGTGGTTAATATGCTGTGGAGTCAGTTCCAACTCATAGCGACCCTGTATAGAGTCTCCGAGACTGTAAATCTTTACGGGAGCAGAAAGCCTCTCTTTCTCCCATGGGAACAGCTTGTAGTTTTAAACCTCTGACTTTGAGGTTAGCAGCCTGACTCATAACCACTACGCTACCAGAGCTCCTTAAACAAAGTGTCATCTGGTAAAGAACTGCTTCTGGGAGAGGCAGGACAAGATGTCATCAAGAAGAGCATTTTGTCAGAGCCAGGTAGGCCTGTGTGGGAACCTCAGCTCCAGACCGTACATCAGTGTGACCTTGGGCAAGTCCATACCCTCAGCTCCAGGCGGTACATCAGTATGACCTTGGGCAAGTCCATGCCCTCACCTCCTCATGGTACATCAGTGTAACCTTGGGTAAGTCCATACCCTCAGCTCCTGACAGTACACCAGTGTGACCTTGGGCAAACCCATACCCTCAGTGAGCTTCAGTTCCTGATTCACAAAGTCAAGTTCACCACAGCAGACTTGCAGGCCGGACAGTGACTAGAATGAGAGGCCTTCAGCCCTGGGGTTGGCTGGCTGTTAGATGAAGAGCTAGCTGCTGGCTTGGCAGGAAGAAGAGAAAATCAAAGGTGGGGTGGCCTCCCATGAATACACAGCGTGAAGAGAACTGCAGAAAGACAGTCCAGCAGAGAGCTAGCACAGGACAAGCTGGGGTTGGGGTCAGTGCTGTCGAGGGGTGTCACTGGGATGTGGGAACAGTCTGCTGTGAGACCAAAGGGACAGGGACCCGTCATCACAACAGGAATTTCCCACTGAGGAGTGGGTGTCTTGTGAGCTATGGTGGAGGCCCGAGCACGCCATATCAGCCGCTGCCTAGTGCTGGCTGCCATCGTCTCTGTGGGAGGCTCACAGCCCCTCCCAGTCCTGAGCTCACCAGCCCTGAAGCCACAGCGGGAGCCCCATCTGTTGTCCACCGCCATGCAGTGGATTCTGACTCAGAACAGAGAAGTGCCCCACAGGGTTTCCAAGGTTGCCAGGGTCAGCAGACGGCCACATCTTTGTCTCCCAGAGCGGCCGGTGAACTGGAACCACTGACCTGGTGGTTAGCAGCCCAGTGCTTAGCCACGAAGGCGTCTTTCATTTACTTGCCATAAAAACTCGCACATCTACTGCCATCGAGTTGTTTCTGACTCAGAATCACCCTATGTCTGCTTTCCAAAGCTGTGACTCTTCATGGGAGCAGCCAGCTTCCTCTTTCTCCCACAGATCGACTGGTAGGTTTGAATTGCTGACTTGTAGTTAGCAGCCCAGTGCTTAACCCACTGTGACACCAGGGCCCCTTTGATTTCATTGCCCCAGTGGTAATAATTTTCCGGGGCTCTGTCACTCCCCCATGGTCAGCTGCACCCTTCACCGGGGCTGGAGCTCTCTGTCTGCTGCCTGTAATGCTCGTCCCCAGTGCCCACAGTACACAGGGAGGTCCCAGCAAGTCCTGGGTTAGTGGATGAGCAAATCAGTGAAAGGGAAAAGAATGAGTCCACGAACTAAAATCTCAGCGAGGCACTTTTGCCAACTGTCACCAGTCCAGAGTGGACAGTGCTCTGAGAGCTTCCAAGTCCCACCTGGATGAGGACCCCGCTTCTCCTCCCCAGGAAGGTTCCTCAGAGCCAGAGGGCTGTGGGTTAAGCATAGGGCCCCTCACTGAAACGTCATGAGTTGAATCCAGCAGCCCCACTCCAGGGGAGAACTAGGAAGCACTCTGCTTCCTAAAGATCTGCAGCCTCCGAAACCCTCCTCTGTCCTCTCGGGTTGGAATCCACTTAACAGTGGACAGCTTTAAGCAGATGAAAGGGCTGCGACCCTCCAGAGTCGTGCAGTGCTGTTTGGATAATTGTTGTGATTGGTTTTGAAATTTCAACAACAGTCAGCTTGTCAGCTCGGCATGCTTTGGATCAAGTCCAGCAGAAGTTGGAAGTGATTGCTGCCGCTGTTTGTTGCGGTGTGGGTCAGGAGGAAGGTAGTTAGTTGTACACGGTGACTCATCTCATCAGGCAAAACTGTCACCCAGCCACAGTTCCTCTGGGAAATTCCTCAACTAGCACACAAGGGCATTAAGTGAGGTCTCACAGGTAAAAGCATGGACCCCCCATATCTGCTGCTTTCTGTTGAGTGCCCCTCACTCCTCGCCCGTCCACCAAGAGCTGTCCCTCTCAGAGGTAGGGTGCTGGCCTCTGAAACTCTGTGTGGAGTTTCATCTTCATATGTCCGGGAGAGGGCGGGGAATCAGGATTTAAACTAGACACAGAGAGGAGGGAGGTGACACCCCCAGGGCACCGGAAATGTTGAGGGTGTTACCACACATGAACCCCAAACAGTCTCCTCGGGGATTTCCGTATCGTATCCCATTTCCCAGATGAAGAAATGCAGGTTCAGATAAATGTTGGGTGAGGGTCACTGCATTCTCTTCTCTTTCTAGGGTAAAACTGAATCTATACATTTTAATCTTTGTTCCTTCACAAATTGTCTAGGAACTGAAGGGTACGACAAGTCTGTCCCTTGGGTTTACTGTTCAGTGTGATACAGGTTGCCCTAAGATGCTCGTGTGTTGTTGTTGTTGTTGTTAAGTACCGTGGGGTTGGTTCCAACTCAGAGTGACCCTATGCAGGGTTTCCGAGGCATAAAGCCTCATCTTTCTCCTATGGAATGGCTGGTAGTTTCTAACTGCTGACCTTGAGGTTAGCAGCCTGATTGGTGACCACTATGGTACCAGAGCAGCTTGTGTGTTATGCCTCTTAAAAAATAGAAAACTGTTTTCTTGTTGTTTTAATGTTTCAAACATTTTATGTATTTTGTTGTTGACAATACACACGCCAAAAAGTCCTCCCATTCACTAGTTTCTCCAAGTACCGTTTGGTGCGTGCTCTCACTGTATTAGATGAAATGGAAAGTCGCTCTTGTCCATTGGGCCCCATATTGTTGTTGCTGTTGTTCAGTGGCATTGAGTGGACTCCTTTACTCCTAGTGACCCTGTACAGGGTTTCTGAGGAGCAGGTGGTGGGTTTGAACTGCTGACCTTGTGATTTACAGTCCAGTGCTGATCCTACAGCGTCACACCAAGAGTCCTGCCCCACCCATATGAGTGGAGTTTAGTGAAAAATGCCTGTTTTTTCTTTTCTTCATTGAAATGACTGTTAGTGATCTCTCTCTCTTGGTCAGATCCAACCGGGCGCTGATCAACGTATGGATCCCCTCAGTGTTTCTCCGGGGCAAAGCTACGAACGCTTTCCACGTGTACCAGGTAAGCTGGGGGTGACTGACACCTTCCTGATTCATTGTCCATCTTTCACATGCATATGAGGTGATGGAAAATACTGTGGCTTGGGTCAGGTGCACCTTCCTCCTCAAAGTGAGGAAGAGTTGATCTAGAGTTGACTAGAAGTGTAAATCCTGGCCACCCGCTGTAGAACGCCCTTCTCAGCCACCTGCCTGGGCCTGGATGTCTCTCCTCCACTGCCCTGCTGGACCCTACTTTTACTAATCTTTCTCTCTCAGGAGAGACTCACTTAAGACCCAGCCTCCGAGGAAACTGCCTCATTCAAATACCAAAGAAAACCCATTCCGAAATAGAACTGTAACTACCACAGGGGTTAAGAAATACAACACATGTTTTGTGGGTACCACAGTTCAATGCATACCCCATGACCCCCCCTGGTTGGGGGTTGAGTGTGTAAGGCTGTGTGAGACCTTTGTCTCCTGCAGAGCTGGTTTAGCTTCACCCCATCTTCTCTCTGACCAGCTGATACCTCTCTCTGCCCTGCCTTCTTATCCCCTCTTGGTGGTTTTCGTTTCTTCTCCTTGCCATGATGCCTGATTCCCAGGCTTGGGCATTTGCTTGTTCTGCCATGGTTTTGTTTTCCATGCCGACTTCTCACTGCTTCCTGGTCCCACTGTCTTCCTGTGTCTCAGTAATTTTCAGTCGGTTTTCTTCTGACTCCCAGTGAGCTCTGTGAAAAGCCTTGAGTTTTGTAGCTTGTTTTCTTACTGGGGAATTGACGCAGGACAGAAATCGTCTATGATCTGAATAGAGGCCTCACCTTCGTTTCCTACCTGAGGTGTGCGGGCGGGTAAGGAGGCTACTAAACTTGAAAATAGAAGCCCCTGTTGAAATCTGACTTTAGGCAAATGTGTAAAACAGAAGTAATCATAAAATTAGCTTGCAGAGCTGGTGTTAAGGATTAGAAATAGATGACACGTCGTTAAGCCCTCAATGTTCATTTCTTGCCTTCTGAAAGGACTGCCGTGTTTGGTGGCAGGTGGTGGTGGACGTGTGCTAATTAGGAATGGGTGGGAGCACTGTGGCTCCACATGATAAGCACTGGACTGTGAACCACAAGGTCCACAGTTTGCACTCACTCGCCCCTCTGAGGAATGAAGTGAGGCTTTCTGCTCCCGTTGCTGTGATTTAGAACTGATTTGAAAGCATTTAACAATAACAACATAAGCGTGGGTTTGCACGTGTCACATTCTCACGGACAGGTGAGTTAACCCTTTCTTGAGCCAGAGAGTCATTTCATTCACATGTTCAGCTGGGCAACACAGCAGTTTCATGTGTGTCAGGAGGAATCTGAATGTTCAGGGTGCTCCCAGCTGTTGTTTTAAAAGAGGATTCATTCGTTATGACAGTTCCAGATATCTCTTCTTTTCCTTTCTTCCTCATCCTACCCCAACCAAATAAACAAGCGAGAAAAAACCTCTTCTCTGAGTTCGACTTTGTGGTCCTCAGAAAGCTGGGAGGCGTTGCCCAGAGGAGGGAAAGGGTGAAGCTGACAGCATTATTTTAGAGCAGAATGAAAATGCGATACCACTTCAGAGGCTTCCTTGACCTTTCAGCTCTGACTTTTCTTCTCCCTCACCCCACGAAGCAACTTGGCAATTTTTAGCCTCTGACAGTCGCCTATGAAACGAGAGGGGCACAGCCAACATGCCGTTGCCTGGGAGATGGGTCCTACGGTGGTCAGAGTGGCCTCTCTCCCTGTCCCTCACTGGTTTCAGAGCAGTCCTGGGCACGTGCCCACCAGAGCTCCGAGGACGTGGCCCAGATATCGGTGAACCTCAGGCGCAGGGGGCTCACATTGCGCAGGCGGCTGACGACACACGTGGGCTCTCTGGCATTGTTCTTGATGCCGGGAGTAACTGAATGCCTGCAGTTGTTTGTCTCTTTTCAGCTAATGGTGCATCTTACTGGTACCTCGAGAGCAAAATCTGAGCATGTGTTGGGAAGCATTTGAGAAAGGCTTTGTTGTAGTAGTTTTATCAGAAACAACATAAAAGGTGACTGATTGAAAACACTGGTACCTGTGGTAGTTGGTCCCAACATACTCTGCTGGTAACTGAAAGGTTGGAGCTCTAAATCTTCTCAGAAGTGCTTCAGAGGAATGACCTGGCAGTCTGCTTCGGATAAAGCAGCCATGTGAAGTCCTGTGCAGCTCAGTTCTGTTCTCTGTGGCATCGACTCCATGGCAACAGGTTTGGTTTGGTTTGGTTTGATCTCTCTTGGGAGCTAAGTCAGAGGTTAGCTAGAGCCCCACGCCTTCAGCAGGCAGCAGACTTGAGTTTAATTCCGTTGTTTTGTTTTCATGGTGTTTGTTTTGACTTTCACCCTGTAGTGAGGGCTCAGGATCCTGGTATCCCACTTAACCGAGGTGATACACAGTTTCTTTCTAAGATAATTATAAGTTAAAATGAAGAGAAAGAAGGATAAGTAGGTCAGCTCAAAACTGCGAAATAAATGTTAGTGAAAGCCACAGAAACTTGAGGATGGAGGTGAGTGAATAGTACAGATCTAAAGGAATGCATTGTTTTCTTGTTGTTAAGTGCTTTCCAGTTGGTTCCGACTCATAGTGACATTGGATTTTTCACATTTTTTAAAAGTCTTTGTGGGAGCAGAAAGTCTCATCTTTTCTCCTGCAGAGCAGCTGGTAGGCTCGAACTGTGAACGGTTCACAGTCCTGTGCTTGTCATATGGAGCCACCACGTTCCCAAAGGAACGCATAGACTGTGACTAACAACACTAGGAACAGCAGCAGCCGGTCAGCTCCATTCCCCGTGTGTGACATGAAGCTTCTTCAGTCCTCACAGCAACGTTTGTTACCCCCATTTTATATATGGGTACACTGAGGCCCAGAGATGGATCAGTTTGTTCTGCTTAGGTGCTGTGTGACGGAGTGAGGGTGGAGTGTAGCTTTTGAGAAATTCCAGAAGCAGCTAGACAGATGCCCTTGTCCTGAAGGGAGTGCCCAGCCTGGCTAAGGCCTAACCTGACAGGTGACCACCTGTGTCCCTGTGGCACAGCTATAGCCAAGCCTGGAGTTTTCTGTAGAAATGCTGGGGCCCAGCCCACTACCACACACACCCAGCACCCCCCCACCCCCCAGGCCTGAGAACCTGAGAGGCTGAGGCAGTGCTCCTCTAAAAGGTCATCAGAGCAGGTGTTGCTGTAGTGTGACCCCACTCTGGCTGTCGAAAGCTGCCGGGGTGCTTCCTCTGAACAGCTCACTTGTGCCAAGTTTTCCATTAGTTCAGAGGGCCAGTCGAGATGGCCCTTGTGATAATCATACTCCTAATTATGAAGGCGTGGAGATCACTCACTGACGTGGCTGTTGACCCTTGGCCAGTTGTACAGTGGAAGATGTCTGGAATGAGATTTTGTACAAAAGGTGCTTTTTTTCTACAAAGTTCTTTTTTGTTTGTTTGTTTCTTTCTTTCTTCTTAGAATAACTCCCTTTTCCTGAGAGACCATAGGGTGTTGTGTTGGCTTAGAGGATGATAGCGTCCCAAGATTTGTTCAATATTTAAGATTCCCTCACAAAAGGAAATCACGTAGCCCGGACAGAGATTTTTAAAGGTTTGTTCTGACTGAGTATATTTATATATGAGATGCAGGGAAAAATCCATGATTTTTCCTGTTAATAATAAATCACAGGGCCTCAGTAGGCTGCAGGGGGCATTAGGTGGCTGGGAACAGAGTGATGGTTTTGGTCTTCAGGCTTCAATTTCCTTAGCTCTTCCTTTCAACCTTCTTTCCTAAGAAGGCTTACCCCCTGGGCCTTCGTGTTCCATTTGCCCACAGCTCTGTTGTCATGCTTGCTGTAGTGTGTCACTGTGCAGACTGGGGAATTCATGAGGTCCAGAAAGATGAGATGCTTCCACCTGGTGCAGAAATAGGAACCACAGCAGAAAGAATGTGGGTTTAAGCGGCTTCTGAGCTCAAAGCTTCTTGGACGTGTATGTTCCAGATTTGGGGTATGGCAGGGAAGGGTCACTTCTCAGGCTGAAAGTGATGAGTGTGTGTGTGAGAGAGAGAGACAGAGAGAGAGAGAGAAAGGTTGGGCCCTTCCTGCCACACCTGTGAGATCTGTGAAAGCTGGAACCTGTGTCAAACAGAACCCTGTAGAAAAAGAGAATCCATGCATATTTCCACTAAAACACACAATAGGAAAGTGGCAAGACTGCTCCCTGTCATAGATGGAAACCTCTCAAGACCGAGGAAAGCAAGGCTGTCCCGTCGATGTCCGGCTCTGGCCGCTGAGCTGCACACCAGCCGGCACCACACACACGCTTGCCTCTGTTCTCACTAACACCCCCCACCCCCGTGGAGTTCCCCACTTCTGAGGATGCCACAGGCTTCCTTCCCACGGTTTCCTGGGAGAGTCCGATCCAGGTGGCTTACCTGAAACCAACATGGGAAACCATAGAGCCTGCTCCCCTGGCAGGATGCATGCCCCGTGTTCTTCCCTGGCCTGCTTCTGGCTTCCCCAGCTGGGAGAGTGTCACTCTTCTGCACCACCAGCTCTGTATTTCCAAAAGGTGACTCTCCAGGACCCAGGTTCCATTCCCGCCAGTGCACCCCAGGTGCAGCCTCCAGCCATCTGTCCAGTGGCAGCATCCGTGGGGCCAGGATGCTGAGCAGGTTTCACTGGGGTTCCCAGAACAAGACAGACTAGGAAGAAAGGCCTGGCAGTCTGCGTCCAAAAATCAGTCAGTGAAAACCTTGTGGGTCCCAATGGTCCAGTCTGCAACCGATCATGGGTATGGCCCAGGACTGGATAGGGTTTTGTTCTGTCGTGCATAGGGCTGCTGTGAGTTGGAGGTACACACAGAGTGGCAGCCAACAACAACAACAACACATACCAGGCATGCTGTAGACTCTGGAGAGCCAGGGAGGAGCAAAACTTGACACTGAGTACCCCTTCCTGAGCCTTGCAGTGTGATGGGATGGCAGCAGATGCTCTGGTGTTC